TTTACACTAATTCACAGGGCTTTTTTAAGGGTTAAATGAAGCAACATATAGAAGTGTATTCTGTAAATTGTGTAGTGCACTACAGAGATTATCATACAGAGATTACTCTATCTTTGGCAAAGTGAGCATGGGGTCATCTTAAGATGACTTATTCTTTAAAAATGAATTAAATGTCCTAGTAATCACTGCTTTCTACTCACAAATTATGAAGCATTTGGCAATCTAGTCTATTATTTTTCTAGAACTCAGTGTTAAAATGTTTCAAAGTACAGGTTCTCAGCTTCACCTACCCTTTCGAAATTTTTCAGTAAAATATGCATTTCTTCAAGTTTCTAGCAAAAATCTCTTTTAGACAGGTTTTTAATTCACAGCAAAATCTAGTGGAAAGTAGTTCCCAATACCTCCCCCACAAGCCTCTTCAGATATGGGCATCCCACATTAGAGATACATTTGTCACAATATTCCTATATTCCTTTATCAGTCATTCCGATCCCAAATTCATAGTTTATACAAGGCTCACTTTTCCTGTGTACATTCTATAAGTTTTAACAAATGCATAGAGACATGTATCCACTACTGTAGTATTTTTTCAAAATAGTCTCACTGCCCTAAAATCCTCTGTGCCTCTCTCTGCTCATTCATCCCTCTCCCTTCAACCCCCAGTAAACACTGACTTTTTTACTGTCTTCACGGTTTTGCCTTTTCCAGAATGTATTTAAGATTGTTTCACATATTTTCATGGTAGAGCTACTTTTAAATAACATTTTATTAAGATATAATTGACATGTAACAATCTGCTCATATTTAAAGTGTGTAATTTTATAAGTTTAAACATATGTTTACACCCAAGAAATGCACAATGTCATTATCAAGACAATGAGAATATTTATTGGTTCCTGAACTTTCCTGGTACACCATTATAATCCCTCCTTGTCTTTTCTCCCCATACCCAGGCCACCACTGATATGCTTTCTGCCACTATAGATTAGTATTCATTTTCTAGAATTTACAGATGGAATGATATAGTACGTACTACTTTTTTTCTTTTTGTTCTTGTTTTTTTCATGAAGTGTAATTATTTTGAGATTTATCCATCTTGTTGCTTAATATATATAGTGCATCCTTTTTGACTGATGAGTAGTAATCCACTATATGAACATCTCTTTACCTTTTCAAGATTAGTGGTAGCAGTTTTAAACATTTCTAAGTATGTGTAGAATTCTACCCTACTATTGATCTCTCTCTTCCACTTATTTAACATAGCTAGAAGTTCTCATTTCCTCATCTATTTTGGGTTTCAATTACAAAGAATCACATTTAGATGGAACAATAACTAGCTTCTTGAAAATTTGATTCCTTTCTTGATTAATTAAAATGACTGATAGGGCCGGGGATTTAGCTCAGTGGTTTCACCGCCTGCTGCACAAGTACAAGGACCCTAGTTCAATCCCCCATACAAAAAAAAAAGAAAAAATTTCCAAATGTATCAGACCTCTTTCAGTTAGTATAAACAAGGCCAGGGGAGTTAAGAGGTACAAAAACAAACACTGGCGAGAAGCAGCAGTGAAAGTAAGTAATATCAGAGAGGATACAGCATTGACTTCAAGATCAGTTTATACAAAAATATACTGATTCACATATAAATTGCACATTATTTGACATTTTATTATGTAATCCACTGTTCCACCTATCCAGGCTTCCACTCAGGGTTGCCTTCAAATCTGCAGGATTTATGGCAAATGTATTACATCTAATTAAACTGAGCTTAATACTTTTTATTATCCTGCAAATAAAGATGGCATCTCCTACATCCGCAAAAAAGATCTGAGCTTAATATTTTTTATTTTCCTGTAAATAAAGATAGCATCTCCTAAAAAAGATCAGCATATAATCAGTTATTAATCTCACATATTTTTATATATTTTCAGAATATACAATGAAAATCCATTTAAAATTATTAGTTTGGGGCCAGGGATTTAGCTCAGTGGTTCTGGCACTGGCCGTGCAAGCACAAGTTACCAAGTTCAATCACCAAGTACAAAAAAAATAATAATAATAAAATAAATAAAATTATTAGTTTATTAATTTATTTTCTGGCTCTTACTGTGAGGGGCAAACCTTCAATTACAGGAGGTTTTTTTGTGTTTTTTTTTTTTTTCTTTTTTGAGACAGGCTCAAATTCACTATGTAGCCCAGGCTGGCCTCAAACTCAGAAATCCTCCTGCATCAGCCTCCCAAGTGCTGGGATCACAGGTGTGGGTCACCACATTCAGTCTATTTCAAGCCAACATTAATGAAACGGAAGAATTAGGATAACCCCTGAAAATAGTACTGACTTATTAGTAAAGTATTAAAAATTCAGGTCATTTCCATTGAAATTTCACAAATGGCCAAGTGAAAGCACATTTGACAATAGTTCTAGGGCTTAAAATTTTTTTTAACTTAAGCCAGGTGTCTAAAGATAATTCAGAAAATGATTGGCCAAATGAAGGTGTTCAAGTTAAATACTGCAACAGACAAAAGAGATATGCTAAAATACTGGATTATATGGCTTTCTCTACAACAGAAACTAGCAAATACATAGCCTGAGTTCAAGCAAACAAAAACAAAACTACATTAGGGAAAAGAATTACTAGGTTGGTTCAAGAGCTAAAAAGAAAAAGCATAAAACAACATAATAGCTGGTACTTTATAAGTAAAAATATCCAGCCCTAGACTAATCAAGGTACTGTAACATAAGAAGAGTCTACAAAGTCCCTAGAGTTTACCTCTAGTAATCTCCATTTAGAAGTCTAATTTTATTGTCTTGTAACTTCCTCACCAAACCTACTCTTCTCATAAACCTCATCTCAGCATGCAACAACCCTATCTTTCAGAGCTAAAGAAAAAAATTTTTAATGTCCTTTACATGTCTACCCTCAATTTATGCAGAAATCAACAAGGCTACCATGTCCACTCTGATCCAAGCTACATTGTCTCTGGCCTGGATTGTGGCAAAGTCCCAGACTAAAATCACTGTACCTGATACTGCCCTACCCTTCCCCTAAAACAAGGTCTCTTCTCCATCTAAACACCAGTGATCCTTTTAAAAAGTGATTCTGGGTCCAGGGATTTAGCTCAGTGGTTCTGCTGCTTGCCTTGTAAGCTCAAGGACCCGAATTCGATCCTGATACCAAAAAAAAGTGATTCTGCTTATATCCTTTATTACTCAAAAGTGATGACTCTCCTTCTACAAAGACTTACAGTAGGGCCTTACACAATTCAGTCTCCTACCCCACTAACCTGCTTAGAGTTTTCCCTACAACTATTACTCTCTACTCATTCCACCACCACCAAACTATCCTCCCTGCTCTCCTCAAACATGCCCAGTGCCTTCCTGTCTGAGGGCTTCTGCCAAGTGTCTTAACTTCTGTTGCACAACCTCCCCCCAGAGAGGTGCATGGATCACCCCTCACTTCCTTCAGACTTGGCTCAAATTATCATTTTTCTCCAGGAGGCCTTTCATGCCTACCTCTAATTAAAATTCTGACTGCCAGTCCCTGTCTTTCCACTTCCCTGGTTTTTCTCAATAGTCCTTAACACCCTCTGACAGCCCACATTTTATGGTTATTATTTTAAGTCCCCCACTAGAATATAAGCTCCATGAAGAAGGGATATTTATCTGTTTAGAGAAGTGTCTGCCAGCCGGGATCCCAGCACTCTGGGAGGCTGAGGCAGGAGGACTGTGAAGGCACTGGGTTAAATCCTCAGTATCAAAAAAAAAAAGAAAAAGTGTCTGGGTGCTCAATAAGTTATTTACTAAATGCACATATGATATATAAAATTTTATAGTTTACAAAGTATTTTCATTTAAATTAAAGTAACTCATTTATTCTTTGTATCCTCTCTTCAAATTTTCCCATCTTTGCAGTACCAATATGGATAATAGCAAAAGCAAGTTGCTAACTACGGAGTATTTACAAGGTTCTTTTAAACAGATAACCGATATTAATTAACCACACTTATAAAAGGAAAGCCGAGAGTCAATATCTTTACTTAGGATAAGGTTTCTGGGTGCAGAACTTTAAAGTAATAAAGGGGAAGAGCCAACTATCAAGAAGAAAAGCTCAATTCAGTTTGTTCCATCAATCAGTTAAGCCGTAGAGAAAAGGCGAGCTGATTTCGATCTTCAAGGAAACACTGACTTGAATTCAATACGAGCGTATTCAACACACAAGATTCAAATCCTTTCAAATTTTCTATCTGCTTAAAACAAACCCTAACAACTACCCAGTGCTGTCACTGGGTGCATAGGGATAAGGAAGCGTTTCTTCAAGCCTCTAAGCTCATGCCCTCCACAAGGAGTCACCGCTTGCCTCCACAGTGGCATCGGGATCTGGTCGGGTCAGCCCAGCAGGGATCTTGGCCGGTCAGCTCAGCCCAGCAGAGGCGAACGGACACCTATCTGATGCCTAGGACCCCAGAATGTCTCCGGGGACTCCTGGGGAGAGGGACTGTCGTCTAGGGGCACAGGGCCCCCCTCCCCCGACACAGGATGTCACAGGCAGGGGAGGCGGGGACCGAGATGCCCGGGGGACGACAGGTGGGCGAGCACCACGGCCAAGGACGAAAGGCGTCCGCGGGGTGGCGGCGTGGCGGCGTGGACCCCGTCACCTCCCGCTGTCGCCAGTCGGGGCGGGCCTGAGGACCGGGTAAAACACACAACAGGGGCACTGGCCCGGTGCCGCAGCCTCCGGAGAAGTAAAGTTAGGGTCCGGGGCCGCGCAGTTGCCGCCACGGTCCGCAGGGCTCGCTGAGCTCCCCACCCCGCTTGGCGCTGTCACCGGCGGCAACGCCGCCTGGATGATCCTGGAGCCTTGAGGCCGGGTCAGCTCACGGGCCGAGTCCCTCAGTACCCTCGGCTCCGCGGCGGCGACCTCCTCCGCCTTCCTCCCAGGCCATACCGGGGTCCCGACTCCCAGCCCTCCGCAGTGTTGTCGGCGCCCAGCTGCCGCCTTTACCTTCTCTGTGGCCGCCGCGCGCTCTCTCACCAGGAGAATCCCGTGTTGCGGCCGCTGCCGCCGCCGTGCTCTCCCCACCCCCGCCCCCTCAGGTAACCCAGGAAACCAGGAACACCACCCCTTCCTCCCCCTTCGCGGACCCAGGCCCTCCCGTCTGCGCGTGCGCCCCAGGTCCCGCCTAGTGTGTCCCGAGCCCCGGCCCTCTTGAGAGGGCTGCGCCCTGGCCGCCGACGTGACGTACGGTGCTGCGGGGCCAATGGAAAGGATGGGTCCTCCCGGCGACCCGGCCCTTCCCCTGTTCGGGCTCGGCTGGAGCCCAGGGAACAAACTTGCTGGAGCAGCGTGGGCACATGCGCAGTATCCGCTTCCTCCTTCCAGTTGGTGGTGGTACTGAGGATTAGAGCAGAAGAGATACGAAAAGGCAGGCAGGTTGTCCTCCTCGGGCCTAGAAAGCTCATGTGGTCAGGGTTACCTTGGGCTTCTTTCAAAAACTGTATAAAGAGGTTTGCAGAGCCACAGCATTAGTTCAGTGTGGAGATGTATTTGCAACCTCAGCCCTATACATGCACATTTGTAAACAGTGGACCCTGTGACTTAGGCTCTGGAACCTTCTCCCTGGCCTTCCTGTTCTTACTTTCTTGTAAAGTCCAGTTTTCGCAAATAAGTCCGTATAGCAAGATACCCCCCCCCATCAAATCAGAATGGTCTCACTCTCTGCCTTTTGTATCTGATCATGATGGCCTGCCTTCAGAAGAAATTCCGTAGATTGGTTCAGCCAGAATCCGCCCAAATTGATATCCCTCTTACCTCCTGTTCCTTAACTATGAATCCCCACTAACCCTAGTGTATTCAAAACGGAGCCCAGTTCTGCACTGGAGTCTCTCCTGATGAATAGTCAGTCCTGAATAAAATGTGTGTTCACCAAATAGGACTTAAAATATACCAGTCTTTTCAGAGCGTGGGAATCACAAGTTAAATACAAGTATATTTCAGCTGCATCACAGACTAAGGGCCCAGTGTGGGCCAGACAGACTGCTCCCATAAGCTGTTTGCCATTTCAGGGGCCACCTTCCTCACCTTCCAGTCACTGTGACAGTCCTTGCAGAGTGTCAAAGAAACTGAGTAAGACCCTGGACTATAAAGATACAGTGTGTATTGTTCAGTAGTTTTCAAATCCCACCAAACAATGTAATCTATAAGCAAATAGTCTGTACGTTGATAGGAATTGATATATAATCAACAATGCCAGTAACTTTTTGCAGAGGTATCAAGAAATGAAAATAATTCAGGTTGCTGCCTGCCCCGCAGGCGCAAGGACCCGAGTTCGATCACCGGTACCAAAAAAAAAATTCAGGATATTAAGTCCAAAGGCTACATACCGAGTGCAAATTCCTCATCTCCCATCTGAACCAGTAAGAAGAAAACTAAAGAGTTGCCCATTGATATAGTTTATAGCAGCTCTCTGAGAAAATTTCCCTCTTTAAATAGCTCCCCTCTAACTCTGATGTTTAACCAGTAGCAGTTCATATTTTTAGACAAAGCTTACCCACTTCCTCTGCCAGCAGTCGTTAAAATACAAAACTTCCAGCAATGAGCAACATAACAAAGTGTCTAACAAGTTAGTGAAAGATTTGTCTCAGGGGAATAGGTACATATTTAACAAAGGTATAATGAGCATCTACGATGTGCTTGGTACTGTCTCAGGTATTGGAGATAATTTTCCTGTCTCTAAACTCAAAGAGGATGAGGAAGCCAAACTGAATCTACTCTTAATTAAACCACAACTTTCACCCTCTAATCCTAAAAAGTCTTTTTTAATGAACAAAAGAAGTTACAGAAATGCCAAGTAACAAATTATTTTGTTTCCCTTGAATGGAAGGTAATAGATGTTCATGACTTCAGTAAAGCAAAAAGAATGAGACACTTTATGTGCTGTTGTGCACATTTGGCCCTCAAAGTATTTTTACTCATAAAAGGTAAAATCACTTGTGTCTGCTCTTTTCTCTGTGGATCTGAGTCATAAAGCATTTTAACAAAGATACTATACTATTGATTTTGCTCCAATATTTTAGAACATTAATATGATGTATACATATTAGATAAAATTTAGTTTAAAATGGCCGGGAATTTAGTTCAGCGGTTCCGACACCTGCCTCACAAACGCAAGGTCCCAAGTTTGATCCGCAATACCAAAAACAAAAAAGAATTTAGTTTAAAAGATTTCAAAGCAACAAATTTGTTAATTTATTAATTTGTTAATGAATTAACAAGGTGTAATTAAAAATAGTCAAAGGAAGAAAAATAAAGAAAAAGTAATAAATTTATTTTTAGAAGCCCTAATTATGTATATATGACATACTAGAAAGTTTTTAAAATTTTTATTGGTACATTTAAGATATTCATAATGATAACATTCATCATAGGGAATTTGTACATGTACATGATATATATTGCTTCTTTTTTCCCCATTCCCCTATCCTCCCTTAGACCCTTCCTTCTCTTTAGTTACAAAAGCTTTGTTTCCATTTCTCCTTCTATTCCCTTTTTTCCTTATCCCTTCTTTCCCTCTCCCCCATCCCTTGTTCCCTTTCTCATTTGAACATTTTCTTCCCATTTTCCAATATCTATTATATATTTGATCCTTATTTACACCATACTAGAAAGTTTTTTTGTTTTTTGTTTTTTCTCGGGTCCTTGCACTTGCGAGGCAGGCGGCAGAACCACTGAGCTAAATCCCCAGCCCCTAGAAAGTTTTAAAATGATAAATTCTCCAGATTATTTGACTCTAACATTAAACTCTATAATGAGATTATAACATCAGTGTTTAAAAGTATGCAGTAAATGTAAACGTGCACAATTTCATGTTTATTCCCTAAAATGCATTTTTTAAAAATTTAATGACTAAATGGATATGTAAATCAGATCAAAACCCAGCAATGGCTTCTCATTTCACTTAGGTAAAAGCCAAAAGTCCTTATAATGATCTTGAGTTCAAAAACCTACACCACCACCTCATCTCTTCTTACTTTCCCATTACTGCAGACATAATGGCCTCCAAACTGTTAAACCAGACAGGTTCTGCCAGGCAGTTCCCTTCTTTAAAGTCTCTGCACCCCTTGGTCCCTCTGTGCAAAGTGCATTTTTTCCAGATAGATGTCCAGAGGGTAACTCCCTTATCCTCTTGTCTTTGCTCTGATTATACCTCTCAATGAGTTTTACCCTCAATACTAGCCTTCGACCTAGGCAAGAAGGGCCTCTGTCTTGGGATCCTACACTTGCATTTCTCTCATAACACAAATGCCTCCTACAATAACCTTACTAAGAAACAAATAAGTTATCTGTCACTTGGGCTCTGGTACTGAGTCAGCGTTAGTGTAAACTGTAACTTTAAACATTGTCTCTTTCATATCACCTATCAGTTTCTAACAAACTATATAATTTACCTATTTATTATGCTTATTTTTATTGTCACCCATGTTTAGACTGTAGGACCCACCCAGGCAGCAATCTTTGTTCTATTTATAATGTACCCCAAGAGCCAGAACAGTGCCTGACAGTAGGCACTCAGCAAACGCTTTAAGAAAATTTTGTTTAAAAGTCAAATAAATATCCAAAGAGTAAGTTAATTATAATTTTGAGCTGCGATTGTATAGCTTATGCCTAATGCAATGCACTGGGACAGAAATGGGATTGTGAAGTAGTTAAAGAACACTACTTCTGCAATGCCTATAACTTGTATCATGGTCAAAATTATACAAATGACTAAATTTATACATTTAACTAAAGACCATATACTTGCTATATTAAAAAATTATGGACAAATATTTAGTTTGGGAGTGCTCTACTTAATTAGGTTGTATAATAGACCTTTTAAAAATGTGTTTTTTTAACAAGAACCTTGAAACTTCATTGAAGTGGTTAATTCATAATTAATGTCTCCATTAAGCTGGTAATAACATCTGCTCCTTTTTGCAAAATTTACCAGATTAGATTTTAATAAAAGTATTTTTAGGTAATTTTCCTACCTAAATCACTGATAGTATTTTAAATTTCCCAAAGTATTTACATTTTACTCAAGAATTCATATGTTATTGCAGTAAATGAAGAATTGTAAACTTCAAAAAAATTTTATGATATGACCTTTTCAGCCAGCTAGAAGTGTTTAAAAAAACCCCAGATTTCCCAATTTGATGTGAAAATCTCATGCTGAGTGTGTGTCAGTGTTCTACATATTTTCCTATGTAGGAAAGATTCCACTGTGGGCAAGAGTGTCATTAATCCTCATAAAAGTTTTTTTTTTCTTTTTAAAATTCTGACCTGTTTTTCTACTTACCATAGGAAATATAATGCTATAGTAATAAAGTCAAATATTAGACAAATACACAGCATAGAAAATGAAATGTACTGTGATCTCATCCCAATGATAATCACTAGTAATTGATATACATGCCTATAGATGTTTTAGTTCAAAACACACAGTTATTGTTCTTGTTCTAACTGTCACTGTCACTGTAACTGAGGAAAGAGAGACTTAGGTCTATTATTGAACGTAATTCTTAGCCAAGTGATTTACTTAGCACTTCATATTTGAATAGCAATATTTGTCTATCTTAATTTCCCGTATAGTCCCATGGCCAACAAGTTTCTGATTAACTTTCAGCTGTAACCTACATGGGCTGTTTATTTTGGAAGAGCAAATTAAATCTACCCCCATGCAATAGGTAGGCTAAAAAGTAAAAGGAAGTTAAGAAACATTAGCATTAATAGTGCAAGTTTTCTGTTCATTCCTATTTATAAAGCTTCAAGCCCAGGTGGTCTGAGAAGATGAAAGATTATAAGGACTCTCTAAAGTTCATGGTAGCTCATTCAGAAGGAAATTTTTAAAAACTCAGTCCAGTAATCAGCAAATTCACAGAACAGAACATTACCTGACCAGTTCAAAGCGGGAGTTGGGTAGGGCTAGGCAAGGGCTAGCAACTCAAGGTAAGAAACATGTATATATTTCACTGCCTATTCAAAAAAAAAACCTGTTTCAAAAAGACTCTTAATAGGTACACTTTCTCTATTATTTTATACACACCACAATTTTGGACCATTTAAAAAACTGTTCCTAAACACCTACACAGAATGCACTAATAAGATTCCA